GATCTCCTCCGTGATTTTTCCAGGGACTGAGGTGAGGCTGACTGGTCTGTAGTTCCCTGGATCCTCCTTTTTCCCTTTCTTAAACATGGGCACTATGTTTGCCCTTTTCCAATCCGCTGGGACCTCTCCTGATCACCATGAGTTTTCAAAGATGATGTCCAGTGGCTCTGCATTCACATCAGCCAACTCCCTCAGCACCCTTGGGTGCATCCCATCTGGTCCCATAGACTTGCGTGTGTCCAGCTTAGTCCCTAATCTGTTCTTTTGCCACTGCAGGGGATGGAGGGAGCCCAAGCTACCATGCCACTGTTGGCTGCTCATTTCTTCCCCAAACTGTGCTGCCTGGTGCAGTAATCTGGGAGCTGACCTTTGCCTGTGAAGACAAGCAAACAAGGCATTGAGCACTTCAGCCTTTTCTGCCTCCCTCATTCAGTAAGGGACACACACTGCTGCCCAAGTTGCCATCCACTACTGCATTCCCCACCAATTCTTCTGTTTGTGAGCTGCAGGTCGAGAAGAGCATGGTCCCTAGTTGGCCACTGTAGCATTTGTACCAGGAACTTGTCCCTAACGCTCCAAAAACTTCCTGGATTGCCTGCACACTTCTGTATTGCCCTCTCAGCAGATGTCAAGGTGACTGAAGTCCCCCATGAGAACCAGGGCTTGTGACTGAAACTTCTGCTAGCTGTTTGAAGAAAGCCTCATCCCCCACTTCCTCCTGGTCTGGTGGTCTATAGCAGACCCCCAGCACAACATCACCCTTGTTGTTCTCCCCTCTAACTTTAACTCAGAGACTTTCAACAGGCCTCTCCAATTTCAGACGGAAGCTCTGGACAATCATAGGGCTCCTTTACATAAAGTGCAACTCCTTGTCCTCTTCGCCCTGCCTGTCCTTCCTGAACAGTTTGTACCCATCCGTGACGGTGCTTCAGTCATGCGAGCTCCCACCACGTCTGTTATTCTGATCGCGTCACAGCTCAGTTCCGTGACGGCGAGGACTTCCAGTTCTTCCTCCTCGTTTCCCAGGCTCCATGCATTTGTGTACGGATACCTGAGGTAACTAGTCAAGTTCCCCAATTTCTTGGGAAGTATGAGAGCACCTCCCCAGTTGCTCCCTCCTGCTTCCCCTTACCTCAGGGCTTTGGTCTCCATCCCCTGGTAAACCTAGTTTAAAGCCCTCTTCACTAGGTTAGTGAGCCTGCCTGCAAAGATGCTCTTCCCTCTCCATCAGGTGGATCTTGCTCTTCCCAGCAATCCTTCTTGGAACATCATCTCATGGTTGAAGAAGCCAGCCAAAGCCCTGCTGGCAATGCCACCTGTGCAGTCAGGTATTCTTTTGCAGGATGTACCCATTCCTGCCCAGGCCCTCTCCCTTGACTGGCAGGATTGAAGAAATCATGACCTGAGCCCCAGACCCCTTCACCCTCGCACCCAGAGCTCTGTAGTCACTTTTGATCCACTCACTGCCTCCTCTGGTGGTATCATCGGTGCCCACACAGGTGAGCAGCATGGGATCGTTGTCAGAGGGCTGGATAAGTCTCGGTAATCCCTTTGTGACATCTTGGATCCAGGTTCTGGGCAAGCAGCAGATGTTCTGAGACAACAGGACAGGTCAGCAGATGGCTCCCTCCATCCCCTGCAGAAGTAAGTCTCCAACTTCCCACACCTGTCGCTTTTTCTTGGTGGTGGTTGTCATGATCCTTCCCACCTTGGTGAGGCTTGACTTGTCTTCCTCCACCAATGGAAAGTGCTCCTCTCTCAGTTGCTAGGGCTGCATATCTTTTCTCTAGACGAACTGCTGCAGGCAAAGATGAATATTTCTGCTTGCTGACAGGTCACAAGCTTTCAGTTTCCACCCTCCTGGGTGTCCATGTCCTCTTTCTCTTCTAATGCCACCTCTTGCAGCTTGTGCTTCAGTCCCAGAAATCTCCAGCATCGAATTGATGAACTCATGAAGGAGGATGCTTTGGAGCCTCACCACCTCCTGTAGCTCTCTTGCCTCTTCCCTGAGACATACCACCAGGAGGCACTCCAACCTGGCCATAGGTTGGAAGGAACCTGCAAGCCGCAGTCCCCCACAGTGCCAAACCTGGACCTGGGTGGACGCCCATCAGTGAGCGGTCCTGCCTGGACAGAAACTTCACAGGTGCAAGCAGAGGCATTGTGACATCCTCCAGCCATTTCCCTTGGTCTCTCAATCTGCCTTCTCTTACTGCCCTTCTTCCAAGTGCACCTGCCCTAGCAAACTCTCCTGGAACTTGGCCGGTTTACTACTCCTTAGCCCCAAAAGATTTTCTTCCCTGCTTCCTCACACCAAACTGGAAGGATCTCCCCTCAAAATGGGCGGGGGGGAGGGGCAGGCAGGCAAACTGATTTGTGAAGTGCTTACCCTGTTTGCTGGCTCCTTGGTTGCTCAGGCAGACCTCATTTATACCCTGCTGGTCCTGAACTGGCTCCATCCCCTCATTAGGACTTCTGTCAGGCCCATACAGCAATCACTTAGCAAGCAGCAATCACTCAGCCAGCAATACTCCCTTCTCAAAGCCCACTTCCCAAACACACACAGCCCACCAGACACACGCAGCAAACCAAATGCAGCTCTGGATCACTTACCTTCCCTGGGCAGCATCTGGTGCCTAGCTTCTCTTCCACTTTCTCCTGTTGCGCCCAGCAAGCTGCCTGCAAACTGCTTACCCTGTTCAGTAGCTCCTTGGTGGCAAATTAAATTAAACCATAGTGATGAGTTAGCCTGTAGGTGAACTGTTTAGTGTATTTTCAGACTTTTGTGGGGTTTGGGCGAGAACTTAAAAAACAAACAAACAACCCACCACATCTAAAATGTAATCAAGTTGATGCTCCAGTCACAACTTGACATTTTTGGAATTGGAAATCCCTTCCACTACAGCAGCCTTTAACTACCCCAATATGACCATCTATGACCCAAACCAAATGAATATGCTGTGGGATCCAGCCAATGGACACTCTGGAGCCAATTACTAAATACCACGTTCTGCTATACTGGGGCTGAACCTAGCTGTTCTACTGCCCCATGCTCACGTGTTACAGCACATGCAAGTGAATGGTATAAGGATGGATGGTGTGCACCCATCTCAGGAACTGTGCCTGTGCTGCCTCAGAGATTCTATCAACTGTGAACAGACTTAAGATAACCTTTGCAGTCAGTACACAACACAGAACACAACATGGCTACTTTTGTGCTCTACCTTTATAAAAAAACTCTACCAGTTTGCAATGGGTGGGCAAGTATTAGAACTTATTTTAAAATTGGAATTTTAAGCATGTAACAATGGAGAAAAATGCCTTATGGTCTAGGTCAGCAGGACAAGAAGATGGAACAAAACCCAAACCACATTAGCTACTTTTCCTGAAAATGCTTTTATTTCTAACTCATTTCTGAAGGGGGTGAAACAAAGTGAAAGCAGTTCCATATTTCAGAATGTCAAGTGCTATCCACAGTAGACAATGGAGAAAGACTGTTTTCAAAAGAAAACCACAGAAGTGAACCCAGATCTACTGAGCTACTCAAATTATTTCAACAAGGCAACTGAATGGTTCAGACGATTGGTAAGAAGCCTTCTGTCAGTAACTTGTTCACATTCAAATCATGGTTGCTTGTGACTTAAGCCATCACCTGATTAGCTACCTGGTGATATTTACAGTGTGCATTCCTCTGTAGTAGGACATGGGCTGATGTCTCAATTGGCACACCCACTGGCACTCACAAGCACCAAGAAATGGACAGCAGGGAGAATGAATTAGCCCCCTGCACTGGTCCCTTCAGGTCATGCCCGAGGCACATTGGCAGGCAATTTTGCATTGTCCATGCTGCATTTGTTTTGGGATCAACTAGATAATCTCTAATGGAGGCAACCCAGCACCTTTGGTGAGAACAGTGTTCATGTAAAACATATATAAATAAAAGCAAGGAGTCGTATAGATGTTGTAGCCCTGGCTACAAAAGCCACATGGACTTAAATTGGCAGAGTCAACTACAAGTAAGGAGTTGGAGCCAACTGAGCTTTGATGCAAGTTGGTGCAGTGCCACTGGTGCTCAGGGAACTGCACCCGCTTACATCAGTTTGCCCCCCAGTGCTATTTACTATAGTTTTTACAATAACTTGAACTCGCCTAAAAACCAGTGTGAAAAGAGCTGCTGCTGAAGAACTAGTAAGGACCTACTCAAATTGCAATTTCATGATTTTTGTGGAAACTGCAAAAAATGGCAGTTTCCATGATTTTGCATGGAATTGCAGGAAAAAAATAGGGACTTTTTAAAAATAAGAAGCTGGCTCCCCAGTGGGGATGGTGGGTAGGGAAACTAACCTGCACGAAGGGGAGCAGCCAAGATGGCAGCCACCCCATCCTCCCTCCACTGCTGATTAGCCAAGAAGGCTGCCTTTCATGCAGCCCCATCCCTTTCTGCCAGTCAGTGGCGAGGGTGAGGCCACATGAAAACCAGCCCACTCCGTCAATCAGTGGAAGGGGCAGAGCTGTACAAAAGGCAGTCCTATCAGCCTATCAGTGTCAAGGGGCAGGACCACTGCAGCCCCTTAGGCCAACAGAGGTAGACGGGGCTTGCTGTGATAAGCCCACAATAATGGCAGCCAGTGCAATTGCCCATCTGCCACCTCTATTTTGGTAGGTCCCTAAAGAATTAATCCTTAAACCAAAATCAAGTGAGTCAGTAACCTAACCCAGCTGCAGGGAAGTCCTCATCAGCAACAGAATTAGACATCTGTTACAAGAACAGATTATTGCAGGACATGTTATATGGTCCACACAAAACCCAGCAATTAAAAAAAAAATGTCTTTATCAGAAATTCCACTGGGGAAAATTAATTCTCAGTTCTCCTAAGAGAAACAATACTATGGTGTTCTTCACATGAGGAAGCTTATTGAACCCAGCCTGCTGAAAAACAGTGTGCAATGGTTGCACCCCGCTTTGCTTGGAGTGGTTTAACAGAAAGAACACCATTTTTCATACTTGTCCAAGCCAGCAGGGAGCGACACTCTGGAGCTCGGATCCTAGCCATCATTTGGCTTTTCTTGGCTGAATGAAAAATTCAGCTTAGGAGCAGCAAGAATCCTGTGCTTCCTAGAATATGTATTTTCTACGGCCCACATCACTGTTGAGGGACACTCAAGTTGTTGCTATTCCCATATGTTCCCTCACAATTTCACTGGTAAACCCCAAGTCGATTTATACCAAGCTGACAACATGGCAGTGCCACTGGCCAGCAGTGTGGTCCCAGCTGAGCTGCCTTGACTGAAAGCTTCCAGGTGGGACTGGGAAAACAAGCCAAATATAAAAGAAGTGTGAAATCTTTAAAAATGTAAGAAAAGTCTGTTTGCTATAGCACAGCACATGCATATGTTTGTATTCGGAGAAGAATTTGTTCCTTCTGGCACTTCACTGGCCCAGCACACAGGTCCACTAGCTGCAGGGTTATTCATATAGGCTTGTACAGCAATGTAGTGACGTATTTTTTCTTGTAACGATGGGTAGCGCTAAGCACCATCACACCATCCTGAGGAAGAAGGAAAAAAAAGGCAGCATGGTGAAGCCCTGGGCTGTGTGCAGCTGGCAGAAATGGGAAGTCTCCCCACCCCCAACTTTACCTTGATAGAAAGTGCATAGAGGTGGTTCAGCATAACATGATTGGGCTCAGGAAGTAAAGCTGGATCACACTGAAAAACACAGGAGGAGGAGTTACTACCTGTTGTCTAACAGATAACCCCTCAAACCTTTCTTCTGTCAAATTTACATGGAATATTTTCTTGTGTTAGGGTTGGACCAGAGGCAGAAAGGAGGTTATGACCAGGCTTGCTGTTTTTCAGCAAGTTCTAATTGTTGTGCAGTACAGAAATTAGGATTCATGGAGAGTCAAACTGTCACTGTTCTTCCAGTTTTGAGGAGGGAGTGGGGGAAGTTGTACCTTAAGTTTCAAGGAACTATGGCAAAACTATGCATTCTCCCTTAACACCAGCCTAACCCGTTAGTTTCCATACAATAGCTTTTTGACACTATCCGGTGGAAAGAAGATTACTACAAACAGATCACTCTGGCTTTTGATAGAAATCTTGCCTACTGGGGTACACTTCCAAGTTTGGGATTGTTGCAAGCAGTCCAGTGCATTTCTTGGACACCTCATCCAAAGAAGATTTGCTTACTCACAGATATACCAGTGTCCTTATTCAGGATGACCTGCAACAGGTGTGGTGGAAGAATAGGTGGAGATTTGAAGCGTTCCTCTGGTTTACAAATGTAGGGATCCTGGTGGTAGGGTCCAGGGGGTGAACTTGACAGCTCTGTCAGGAAGAAGTTGAACATTTGACTTTGAATATTCTGTTCTTTATTATAAGTCCACTAAGTCCAGCAGTTTTCATCTAAAGAACACATGACTGGTAGAAGCCAGCAGCACACAAGCATGAGAACAGCATTAGCTGGTAAAAACATGAAAGAGACTATTTCAAAATTTGGACACAGAAATGTGAAGACATGTAAACCTTCCTCATGTTAAATACCTAAAGTAATCTAACTCAGACCTGCACATGAAGCATGGACAGGCAAAGTTTCAAGGTTGCTGGCTTACTCCTGAGGTTTTCTGATTTCTTTGCCTAACATTTTTCTGGCATGTTTAGGACTAGATGCCAAGACAGACTTCCTTTTACATTGTTTTTTTCCAGTCCTGGTAAACCCTGGAATGATTACTTCTAAGGAATTCCTTCATGTGCACAAGGAAGTGCAAACAACCCTAACTGCAGTGCTGAGAGGCGTCGGAATCAGAAGCTGCATGTCTGCGCAAAGGAAGAGAAGAGAGGATGCTTGAGGAACTGTAGAAGTCTGCTGCAGCACTGGTATACAAGCAGACATACTTCTCATCACCTCTCTTCTCATCACTAACTTGAATGATCCCACAATCTACCCCAACAAAAAGCTCTTCTAGGTAGAGGTGGCCCAGACTGGTTTTGCGTGTGTTTCTGTCTCTACTTCAAGTCAGCAGAAAGGGCTTTCTAGAAGGAAGATGCTGATTCTGCCATCCTCCTAAGTCCCTACTGAGTGGATGCAATCAAGCTACTCTCAGTGTTGATACAGAGTCGACAAGCTGACCCTAAAGTTCATTTGTTTTGCCTCTTGCTGTGCAGTTTTATAGGACAATACTTATGGAAAAGTCACTCATATCAGATGAGACTATCTTCAGTTACACAAGGACACATTAACTCCCAAAGTAATAAAGCCAGTGAAACCCTGTCCACCAAGGCTGGCAACAGTGGTTTCAGTGTCAGGTAGTATTGATCCACTTCATAGACCAATGAACTGTGATCAGACAGGGACTTAGTGCTGATCCAGATGGGATCTGAACCAAGGACTATTCCCACTCTTTTTAGATTATCTGAACTCTATACATATGCAACAGATTTAGGTATAAGGAGAGATTCATCCACTTCGAAGCCTTAACAAGACCAGGAAACTTTTGCACAAATTCAAAGGGAGGATATAAAAAATTAAAGGCGATTCATACCAGAAACATCCGAACTCTTTTGGGAGTCTACCATCAAAGCATCAAATACTTCAAAATCGGTTTTCTTCACCTGAATGATATTGTTAACTGTACCAAGCTGGCTGGTGACTACTGGCTGGAAAGAAACAAGTAGATAAAACAGAAAATGTGCAGGTTTATGAATATTCTATGATTTAAACCAATATCACACAATCCTCATCTTCAACTTATTGTTTAGCCTCTTGTTAATGTTGCTGGATGTGATACCAGTTCCCTTCAGACAGACAGACAGTTACCTAGACCAGCTGGTAAAAACACTGACTGCCTGAGCTTGTTGAAACAATCCATCACTACTGTTAGCAAAGGCCCTTTCTGTCAGGTGGGAACAGAAACCAATTAATTTCTCCTGTTCTTGTCTATGAATCAAAATTTAAGTGCACAGAATCACAGAAAATGTTACCTCGGAGGGATCATGCGTCCACTGACCATCCACATAGAACTTATATTGGTGCTCTCCTTCAGGCAGGTCCAGGATTGCTACAAAGTTATTGTGGCTGCAGTTGATAACAGGCAAACAGTTAAGCCCTTATTCTCAAAAGTCTGTCCATGTACAGTTCCACTTCATTTATCACAATATAAAGTCACTTGCACCTCTTGAAACCTTAGCATTCTTTAAGAGAGTTCCTGAGTACAGCAATTGCCTATTTAACACCTGTCAGGCAAACAAATGCCATCACTTAGATGTACAGAAACAAGCTAGAGTTAATGGTTGCCTCTGTGGTGACAGATTAGTACCGGCTCTTTTGATACAACACTCAAGATGTTTCACAATAATGCTCAGCGCCAAAGAATCCTTCCCCTGGCCAAGGGGTAATGCTGGGGTTTTGCACACACATTCTTTCTGTTATTCAGACTAACATGCATCTGCTAGCTTTGTCCCAACAACCAGAACTTCCCATATAAGATCAGTTCACTCCTGCCTTTCAGTATTTTCTACCCACAAGTCTGCCTTGTTAAACGAACAAACAAATGGAAGATGAGTGTGGCAACTAAACTATGCCCTGGAAAAGCCACTTTGAACACAGGCAGTTTGATTAATTTGTCATTCCTGCTCTGAGTTCCCTGCCTGTTTTGAAGTTCACTGGAATACTGAAGGAGGTCAGGCAGAACCCATGGTAAGTGGACTGGTCACGCAACTCCCTCTCTCATTTTGTCCTAAATTTGGGGGCAAAAGTGTGAAGAGTGCAATCCCTGTCAGACCTGGTTTTGCCATTTGAGTTTGAAATGAGTATCCAGCAGAAAGACAGGCAGTAAAAAAGCTTTTTTGATTTACAGCAGCTGTTGCCAACTGCAAGTTAGAGGGATAGATGCCTCTTTAGATTAGATGCTTAGAAATAACAATGGGGAGAATGAATTCAGTGAATTCATAAAAGCTCTAGAGACTGCTCAGCTGATCTGTTGGCCAGAGCATGCCACAAAGCTCTGAATCTCTCCAGTCCCTCCTTCTGAAACTGCATCATGTTTATGCTTCTAGCTCAGACCTCCAGAGGCTTTCTGGGCCTGACTCCTGCTGCATTTTATACATTCCCTGTTTCCTTCCACTCCAAAAGTAACAGGGATAGCAATGCTCTGTTAATCCCTTTTTCCTACTCCTGTCTATACATCTCCCATGCTACCTCAGCATGGAATTCCTTTCCCAAACCAATGCTATAAGACACCGGTATACAAGTTCCATGTCAATGCTTACAATGCAGCTAAGTTGTGGATCTTCCCAGCATGTCCTGCCTTCTACAATAGATTTCTACTTCCTCCTCAAGAGCTTTCAAAGACAATGGTGAAAGCAGCAACAAAAAGAGTCCAATAATCTACTTTTAAATATTACCCCAACTTCAGACAGATACGATGTAAAGGAACAAGTTTATTACCTTCGTGTAAGAGGGATTTTGCTCCAGTTGTTGAAAGAGCCTGATAAACAAACCTCTTTTCCACCCCCAGTCCATCGAAAGACTGTTGGTCGAGCTTGGGTAGGGGCTTTTTCATTCACTTCCAGGTCTTGTCTCCAGGCGAGGAATTCCTCTTTCTCCAGTGGAGCCTACAAGCACAACATTTTACTCAAGGACAGACACGTGTTGGCTCCTTTTCCCTGTAAAAGGTAAGGAAAACCCCCAGACAACTAATGCTTTGCAGAAGGCAACTTCTCCCTTCTGCAGAGCAGTAAACCCTTAAGTTGAAAAATCAATTCAGAGAAGGCTACTATTAGATGAAGAACTGGAGCTGGTACCTCAGCAAACTGTTTGCACATCTGTTTATAAAAAACACTCTTCACCCTGTTAAGAGTGAGGCCCCCATACTTTGCAGGAAATAGTACAATGAAAGGCAAAATAATTAATCTAATTCACAGCTGCAGCAGGAGACGCAAACATCTGCATATGTTTAAGCTCAGTGGTTAAAAAGGGAATTTACTAGAGAAGCCATTTGTTAAGACTCCACAGAATGCTGCAGAGAACCTGCACCTGGATGAAAGGACGATTACTGTGTACACAACATGTGATTACGTTGAAAGATTGTGGGTTAGATGTTCTTCCTGCACCCAATAAGGGGAAGAATGGGGAACTAAATAAGGAATTCTAACAGAACTTTTGAGATCGAAAACAGTAATACTCCAGATGACCATTGTGAGTAAGGCAACTAAGGTTAAATGAGCTCAAAAAACACAGCAAAGGAAGCAGGTATATACTGACACACAAGACTTGACAAGAGTTCTGAGCCAGTAACCTTTATAACTTTCTACAATTTATATTTGTTAAATATGTGGTACTTCAGCCACAGGAATCTGCTTAAAAGTCAAAGGAATAAAGAAATAAGAAAGTTTTCTTCTCTCAGTTTGGAAAGAAAGACAGGCAGATATGTTTCAAGTTTCTAGAAATAAGTTTGTACAGAAAATAGCTCAAATATCATTAATTTCCAAGAGACAAAACTTAAAACTAGATAGACTTTCTAAGTCAGCAAGTGTCTGTATCAAGAGGTGAGTGCACTAACACAGGATACCTTCATCTCTTCTGAATGGAACAGGTCCGCATCCTCAGGACTGTCCATCAAGATTTTTGGTCTGTCACCTTCTTTTGTACCTGACGCATCTCCTCGGGATGCCTTGTGCCCGCCTTGGCGCTCCATTCCAGCTCGCTCACTGCTTGTGTTCCCCATTCTGAAGCCTTGAAAAGAAAAAGCCAGCATGACATGCACATCAGTGGAATCAGAACTCTGCTCTTCTACTTGAAGACTACATGCATACAAAGATCAAATGGCCTTGACAGACTATATCCTGACGTGTATGACAGCAACACTGGAGGATGGAATATACAGATACCACTGCTGTTTTCGTCCTCCACATGAATCTGTAGATAAGACAGAAGACCGGTTATGGGACTTGGAACCCATTGCTGCCTTGCAGGGAAATCAGAGATAGCTCTCACTGCCATGGATCCATTGTATCCAATGACAATTAAAAGTAAAATGCAGAATCAAGAGTGGGGCAGGAGCAGGGGGCAGAACCCAAAACATCCTCCTTTCCAAGGCACTGTTCAAGTCCATGAGTCAGAGACAGAATTCCTCTGGCTTCTTCTGGCCTTGTAGAACCTCTCCTGGTTGCCCAGTGGGCCATCAACAGGAGGGATGAAGGGTTCTTCTGGCTTTGCGTAGCCCATGGCCTGGTAGTTAGGGGGCATTGTCCTCGTAAGATTTTAGTTCAAGCCCCCTTTAGCTAAGGGGGCTAAAATCTGTACCTCCTGGTTCCTGGATAAGTGCTTTAATCATTAGGCTGTTAGACTACGACAGGACTGTCCAATTTTAATGCAGTACGGAGCTGCACACACTACCAACATGCAGTCCCTGAGCCATACGCCCTGCAGGCTGCATGGGCCGTTCCCCACCCCACCATGCCTCCCTACCATGCAGGCTGCACCAGTAGCATATGGCTCCCCTGCCCCATGCCAGCAGCATGTGACCCTTGCCTTCACCTTCCTTCTCCTCCCCTCCAGTGCAAGGGCTGCATGCAAACCTCCATGCCCTTGTGTGGCAGTAGGAGGGGTGGCTGCAGGATCCAATGGGCCTATGTGAACCACTCACAGGCTGTCCAACTGGACTAAAAGATGAAGAAGATCCTCTTCCTCCTCCATCAGCCACTCCACCTGGATTTACTCTTACCAAAGTTTCAGGGGTTTACATGGAATTATGCACCTTCCCAAGTGGAACAAAGCATAAGTGGCCATAGCATATCCCTCCTGGGCATGCTCATAAGCATCTTGCCACACATGTGGAAACAGGGTCTGTATACCAGGTATGTGCACAAAGATCTTCTTGCACATCTAGAAGTAAGCATACAAGCAGCACTTTTAACAACACCAAGCCAAATAGGAAATTAAAACCTGTGCAAGAATGAAAGATATTTCTAACTTTTCTCTAACAACATTTTATTTTTGAAACAAAAAACAGCTTGAAAATTCTACCCAGAATAACCATGGAAATAAGGGAAGGGAAACATCTCTCACACAATTTTCTGAGAATGTCACTGTTTATTTCAAGAGGCAAGGAATTTTGTGATATCTTTTATTAGATCAACAGCACAGTTGGGAGAGGTTTAGACAAGCTTTCAGGCACAAAGTACCCCTCCTGTGCTTTTCTTTGTTTTTCACTCTGAGAGTAGTAAAGCCTATTAACCTCAAGCCATGGCATTTCAGTTGCCCATGTAATGCATAATTCCATGTAAACCCCTGAAACTTTGGTAGGACTAAATCCAAGTGGAGTGGCTGATGGAGGAGAAAGAGGATCATTATCTTTTAGTCCAGTTGGACAGCCTGTGAGTGCTTCACATGGGCCCATTGGATCCTGCAGCCACCCCTCGCTACTGCCACACAATAGGGAAGGGCATGGAGGTCTGCATGCAGCCCTTGCACTGCGTGGAGGGGAAGGGAGGAAGAGGCAAGGAGCAGAGGAGCCATGTGCTACTGGTCCAGCCTGCATGGTAGGGCAAGGAACAGCCCCTGCAGCATGCAGCCTGCACGGTGTATGGCACAGGGACTGCACATTGGTACTGTGTGCAGCTCTGTACTGCATTAAAATTGGCTAGCTGTGTCATAGTCTAACAGCCTAATGATTAAATAAACCCACATATACAAGCCATCCCTTCAATGGAAGAAAAATGTCAAAAGTACCTGAATGACTTCAGTGTGCAAATTCCACTAACTTCTAATGAGTCCTAGGCTCTTCCATGCCAGGATCTTTTTTTTAAAAAACAATGGGACAGACTCCTAAATCATGTAGGCGCTTTGCATTTAATGCTGGTTCCTGCCAGTGAGGGAGAGGGGAAACTCCATCCAACTCCAGGACTGTATTTGTGATCCAGACTTTCCAATATGATCTGAGCTCAACTAGGAGCTTTATATTCCCCAATTAAACTGATAGGGCACCATCAACCACCAAGCCACGTACGGGGTCTCCGTTTTTCTAATGTCCTGTTTTTTTCTGTCAGCGAACTGATTGGTCAGAATTGACAGCTTTGTAAGCTGCCACCTGCCCCCTCCCCTCACTAATTTTAGCTGTACCATTCTTTAGTTTCTTCATTTAAGGAAAGGGTTAATAGTTAATGAGGTACATGAGAGGTATTCTCTGGCTTAAATAAAAGGAGAAAGATTCATGTGTTGCATCTTTGAGAAACTGAAGCCAGAAGCTGTGAATAAATATCCTTAATACACATACAGGCTGTGCTGTGCATGTGCAACAGCTAAATAACCATTAAACTCCAAGCCTTTGTTATAACTACTCTGAAAGCTCCGCATAGCACATAAAACCCAAGGAAGAATTAAGCAGCTTGCAAGCTTCACTGTGTTTTTCACATGCAAATGAACGGAAGTGTGCGCATGAAAGAGGGGAAAGCCCTTCAGGGGAACGGGACCAGCCTGAGACCCTGCTTCAGCAGCAAGGGGCAGGCGGCTTGCGATGGAGTTATCAGGATGGGTAATGTGGCAAAAGCAGTCCAGCGGGGAGGAGCAGCTGCAAGACACCTCGCACCAGGAGATACCAGTTGCCAGAGGTCTCGTTGTGAGAGGTGGGGAACCTGCCCAGAACAGACCACCCCCCCCATACACACAACATGGACGGGCTGCAGGTGAGTGAGGGGAAGCTGGGAGGGTGAGGAGACCTGCTGGGGCCAGGAGAGGGGACAGTGGCTGCTCACGCTTGACGCAGCTCAGACAGATGCAAACAGGAGGAGGAAAAAGGCCGAAGGGATGACGCCTTGCCCAAGGCCCAGCCCCCAGCGAGGAGGGAGGTGCCAGGTTCCTGCTCAGGAGCTGCCCTGGGGCCTCGTGCTTTGGCTCCACCTGCCCAGGGCCTGCAGGCGAGCTGTGGTCTGGTAGGGGTGGGGCTGGGACGCCGTGTTGCCAGGTCTACACTCATTATGGCACGTGTCCTCTAATTTCCACCCTTGTGCGATACACAACAGATCACGCTAAGAGGGCTCATGAGCAGGGCAGTCTGGGGGGCAGTTCATTGATGCAGCAGCAGGTGCAACGCCGAGTCTCTCTCGGGGGATCTCAACCGGCCCCCGGGCTCGGCGCCGGCTGGCCCCCACATACACAAACGCTTCACTCGCAGCGAACGACCCCCGCGCAGGAGGAGACTTATTCGCAGGCTGCTTTTTTCTCACGCTCGGCAGCTTTTCAGAAACCCTCTCACTGCAGCCTCCGCAGCCACCATCGCACATTTCAGACCCGACAACGCCGCGGGAGGCGCCGGTTCCCGCTCCCGCTCCGCCGAGAGCCACCGCCTCCAGCCCCGCCCCGCCCCGCCCCGCTCTCACCGGCCGCCGGAACCCCAGTCGCAGCGGGAGGTCGCGCAGAGTCACCGCCTCGCGCTGAGCCGCTATCTGTTCCGGCTCCGCGGTGCGCCCCGTTCTTCCTTCCCCGCCCGCGCGCAGCGCCCGCTCCGGTCCGCCGCGTACTTCCGGCCGGAACTCGGCTCCTCGGCCTACTTCCGGTATACGCTTGGCGGTACTTCAGGTTGCGGGGCTCGGGGCCGATCCCGGCTTCCGTCTCCCGACTGGGGCTCTACGAGTTCTTCTTCGCTCCCGTCCAGCTGTGCCGGGCTTTGGCAGCGGCGACTCCCCCGAACAGGGGATGGGCTGACTATGGTCGCTGGCTCCTCCCCAGCACGGGGTGCGCCCATGCCCAGTGACCTGGTTGTGGCGGCACAGGCCCGTGTCCCAAGAGCCGCTGACGGGCCGGAGTCAGGCCTGGCCCCCGGCGGCTCGCACACCCAACTCCTGGCCCCTCCCATGAGCAAGACCCCGCTCGCCGGGGCCGCTGCACCTGCCCCCCCCGCGAGGTTTTGCTTTGAGTGAAGGGAACGGGAGAAATAGTTGGGAGTCAAACCAGGTGACAGGGTTGGCGAGCCTGGAGGAGTTACGCAGGCTGTAGTCCCCTCGTCTGAGCCCGAGGCTGAGGGGTTTAGCCCTCAAGGAGCCAAGGAGCTGATGCTTTTGTGGCCCAGCCTAGAGAGAAGGTCGTGAGGGGGTGGTATGTATGCGGGTCCGGAGAGCAGAGCACAAGGACAGCACCCTTCAGCGGTGAAGGTGGGAAACCTGAGTCAAGGGGGGCAGCAGGAGCCCCAGGGCAGATTTCAAACCTTACCAGGTGTTGCAGAGAGAGCTCAGAAGTGGGATGACTGCAGGAGTGAGAGTGGTGCCAGAAAGCGGGTGACGAGCAAACAAACCAGCCCTGCATACATAGCCTGGGGAGCTGGTTTGTCCTGTTGGCCTTCCAGCAGTCCAGCTGTGGTGGCTGTACAGGTAGCTGAGACACGCTGAGCCAGCTGTGAAACATGATCATATGAGTGCAGAGGGCATACAGTGCCTGTCAGGTTGCCTTTGTCTAATATTGTAGTAAGCTGAATCTCAATGGCTGCAAATAAATGGAGGATTATTTGTGGGGTGAAGGACTCCTGCGGCTGCCTGAATCCTGGTTAAATCCCAGGTACTGAGCCTTACTGCTCTGGCTAGAGCTGGAGTTTATGCAGACATCAGAGAAGGTCTTAGGAATCTGACAGGGAATTCAGCAAGATCTCTACTCCATTCAAGTGTGCCATTGTACCACCAGCATTGAAATGTTGATGGATCCATATAGAGAGGAATAGCACAAATGTGAACCTAACTATAGTTAGTTATGGTTTGGTTATTTGCTAAAGAGAGGAGTTCTTATCTTGGCACTGAGTTACCTCTGGTTTGTTTTCCTTTAAAACAATGATTGCTTAATGTAAAATGTCCTCTCAGTCACACAACCATAATTTCATGTAGGAACATTGTTGGTCACTAAGGGGGAGTTAAAATCTTTTAACACGAATGATCCCTGAATTCATTCTACGTTTTGTCTGTAGGTGGTACTACACACTCAGTGTGTGTACTGCTAGGCTGCTTTAAAACACATGGTAATGGCAGGTATTTCCTTCAAGTGTGTCTAGATGGCCTACTATCAATAAGTCAGATGCCCTCAAGTATGCGTTTTGGTAGAGGCAGAATATACTTTGGCAGAGACATTTTAATTGCAACCCTCCATGCCAGTTATTTCCAGCACCTGTATATATGTTGTCCATTGTAGATTGTCACCCTATGCATTATCAGAGGCTTCTGAAGATTTCAGCTTAAAAAAAAAATTATTGTTTGTAAGCAACTGAAATATTACCGAGGCTTTCTGGAAAGGTCATAGTTAAAATGATCAGTAGTCCAGAATGGAATTCTGGCTCCTCTTCTGCCAATTCTAATTTTTTTTTTAACAAACTATCTAAATGGTATTGGACAATAGGATTCACTTACAAAGCTCCCCTTTCTGGCCCACTGTACAGCCTGTTTTCTTCTGGAATGGTCAGGATGGAGGGAGTAAAAGTGAGGACATAGGTTGAAGTAATCCTTTGCATCTGACTTCAGTGGCACTGAAAATCCTCTCAAGTCAGTTTGTTTATGCTCAGGCTCCTCTTGCACTTCTTTCTGTTCTTCTCATGAAAAAATGTTGTCTCAGTTTCCTCCATGGTCTGCTATTCACATTTGCCTTGCATTTGTCCTTTCTATGGCATTGGGGAAGAAAGGGATCATGGGGCTTTTGCTGCCTTTACATGGGAATTTTTTTTTTAATCAGTCTAAGCCAGTGGTTCTCAAACTTCTTTCTTCGCAGACCACTTGAACATTGCTGAGGGTCTCGGCAGACCATTTAAACTTTTTTTTGCTCTACAAATCAAAGCACACAACTCATGTTTTTATATCAGTAGTCTTACCTTTCTAATGTGATGGATGTGCTTGTTGTTTTAAGCAAAGTTCTGGGAAGTAGGGTGTAATCTTTGTCAGCTTTAGCCTTAGGTCACCTTTCTACGGACCACCTGAATGGAGCTCACGGACAACAGTTTGCGAACCTCTGGTCTAAGCCATATGATGGGGGCAACACGGTTGCATACAATAAAAACAGACCAAATAACTGTCAAATAAAGCATTACATTGAAAAGGGCAGCAGAAGCATCAGCGGTGCTCTCTCAGGGCTTGAGTGGCCAGTGACAGTATGTTCTGATGAGGCATGCTTCTAATTTTGTATTTTGTTGACTGAACGAGAGGCTCTGACTCATGACTTGATAACTTGCTGGAGAGTGTTGTGAGTGGAGCATGTGTGGGAACTTTTTCCAGATCCTGCAAAACAGTTAAATTCTCATGAAATCCAGCTATTCTTTTGTAACAGCTTTGAAACCTTTTAATTTCTTGTCTCCAAACACAGTTTGTTTAGTTTATTTTTTTGCTTCCTGAGCAAGGTGCTATCTTGAGTACATCCACAGAAGCAACTGCAACGTAGAGTGGAGATACCTGCCTGACTTGACTCACTTGCCATTTGCCTAGTGGGACTGTTGTGCTTATTTGTTCAACATCTAGTCAGTTGGCCACACTGGTTTAAGCTGGAGCATTCTTACTGTAAGGCTAACCTCTTCTCATCCTCTCTAACAGAGCTTTATCAGGGTGTTTGTTACTGGTAGATGCTATAGTTAGAGAATAGGCAGTGGGCATTGCTCCAGGCACTCCCAACCATCCATAATGAATCCAAGAGGGATGGACATAAATACCACACAGAAATCATCACACACAAGCTCCTTCCCAGTCTTCAAATGCATGCAGTGCTGCCTGTCCCCAACAAGGGAAATAGTGGGAGAGCAACCCACCAAACAGCGATTAGCCTTTCTCTCCTTGTGGGGTGGTGGAGGTGGTTTCCATAACTCCTAGAAGTAATGTGCTGCTTGTGAATTATGAGCTGTGGATGATGTTACACCTGTAAGAAAAATGAAGTTTAATGCTGCTGTCTGTGGTTTATAAATCATCATCCCACCTCCTTTCTAGCATGTCAGCACCCAGGATTCAGCCATCTGGTGCAGTATCATCTTCTCCTCTTCACTCCCTACTTAGAGCCCAAGTCTCTCACAGCTGTTAAAAAGCCTAGTGATGTGGGAAGAAAGAGATTATCTGAAGCCATGCTGGAAGGGTCTGGCAGAGCATTTCCACCCACTAGGTTATTGGAGCACTGGAAAAGCATTTGCACCCCCTCAGGTTATTGGAGCACTGGAAAAAAGGAAGATGGGAAGGGTCCCTCCATTCTCGGTTGCTCCTCTCACTGCATTGCAAACTTGCCTTAATGCTCTTTTTCTCATTGCTAGACCAGGTTTAAAGCAGAACAGGAGCTGATCCAGATTCCTACCCATCAGATTTCTCCAGTCCTAAGGTCCCAAATGATGTTCCTTTTTAATTTAATTTGCAAGAAGGTCAGAAATGCTAATTGTGAGAGGTGTCTCTTGCCTTCCAAATGGCCACACTCCTGGGCTGAGTCAAAGGAAGGCAGGGCATTTTCAGTGATTTTAGAGCTTAATCCTGTTCTGAGTGGCCATGTCTACACATGCATTTAATTGTGAAGCAGACTAATTAGCTGCAGAGTAAAGCATCACCATCTACCCATGTGATGCTACTAAGCATGGTAAACTAAACACTGCCATAAGATAGTACTGCTGAGGGCTGACTGTGGGTGTAAATTAAGCCCAGTTAGTCCAGCCAGGAGCGCGCCAGACTCTTGTCTGACACCTTGCCACATAGCTGTGCACTTTTAGCACCCTCATACCCCAGCCAGACCCCCTGCTGCTACTCAGAGCCCAGGGCTGACCCCTGCCAGTCCAGCCCAAGCAGGGCAGTGGCTCTAGCGTAAACTGCTTCCGCTGGCTCAAATTGTTGCTGTCCCAGGCGCATTTGTTGTCCCAGGCACATGTGCTGTACCCAAGAGTAGTTTACTGTGGCTGGCTCGAACCACTCTGGAGTTTATTGCTTTGAATTGCATGTGTAGATGCACCTAGTGACTGCAAAGGTATCCCTCACACATACTCCAGTGGCTATCATACTTGTAGGGCAAATAAAGTTTCACAGGCAGATTCTCCAGGGCATAAAGGCAAATTTGTGCCACTTTGCTCTCTTGGAGCTGCTTTAAGTCTGGTGTACATGGCCGCTGAAGGTGAAAGCAGTTCTTTTATCCCTTTTCCCTGGCTGTTGGTATGAGGCACGTGGGCAAGGCAAATAGTTGGGCACAGCCCTGTCTTCTGCATTCTGGTGAGCCTCTACCTTGCCAGTCTCAAGCTGCCAGCAATATTGCCTGGTGCAGAGTTGCTCCAAAATAGGAGAGTATAGTGTTGAAAGACCCTTCCCACACGAAACTCCTCAGCTGCACTGAGCACTCCAGCACCATGGCCTTCTTTGTCACTGGAGAATTTTCCATCATATACTAAGCATTTTCAAATTATGTTTTCTGTAACGAATGTGAGAACATGAAACAGAAAAGCAGAGCAACAGCCAGCTGGCCTATCCATCCCCTTGTTCC